GTAGAATTACTTTAGGTCGAAGTCTAACAATACATCCCTAAACCAATACAACTCAAAGCTCAAGTGAGTAAGAATTTGAGACATCCCCAACAATATTTGTCACTTGTGATAATTATCAGTCAAGAAAACCCATTTTGAATTGGGTTCAAGCCCATTGGGAAATTTAATTTGACCAATCAACCTATAGTTTAGATTGGGTCAATATTGGTACTTGTGGACCAATCAAATGGAATATATATTACTGTGAAATTTTAATGTCTATGGTGTTGCTAAACAATTTGAATGAGCTATGTATCGGAAGAGGATTGCGGAAGTGGAATGGAGGAGGCTTCTTGAATCACTTCAGCGGAAGCTCAGTTTCCCATCATGCCCAATTGTTCCTCACTTTTCAATTATTTGACCAACTTGCCTTCAACGTTTCAGTTCAAGGCTACTTCTTAAAGGACAATAAGTGCTGAACACTGACTTGAATTCAGTATGGTGCAATGGAAGCCCATTTATGAAGTGCTTCATCTTGATTTTCACAACTTCCCTAGGATGGAAGATTTGATAACTTGTAAACACTCTTCTTTCTTTTAACACACACACAATAAGTGGGTTGGCCAAATCATCAAAGGTAGGTGAGTTGTTAGAGGCGATGGCCCAAGAACCAAACACACATGTTCAACTATGAATGGACTTACAAATGCATGTTTTTTCTGGTTACTGCACTCATCAGTTTATAGTATCTTGACTCAAAATGGGTTGGGGACAACTTGGTTTAACCCCAAACCATTGATCTAATTTCACTTCCTCTTGGACCTATGCTTTGTGCTAAGAGCTGACATTTGTTAAATAGTCCAATTCAATAAAATCCTGTCCAATAATTTCAACTTAGTATTTCTGTTGAGAGAATATATTGATAGGAGTGATTTAAACCTTGATACAATATTGATAGAGTGATTTATGGGATTGATTTTAGGAGCCCCCAACAATGTATCTTCCTATTTATCACGTGTATCCTTTCACCTACAAATAGAGGTGGTCATTATAAACAAAAAAAACTAAGAGAGCTAATATAATAAAAGTGATGTATCCCTTTGGGCTTTGTGTGTCGTGGATATAGGCTGTAGTGGCCAAACCACATATATTCTTGTGTTGTTTCATTGTTAATCTCTCTCCTCAATCTTTTATTTATTTTTTTCAACATTGTATCAGAACAGGTTTATCATACCATACTCTAGACTTGTTTGGCTCTCCTATATCTCAATTGAATTTTGTGATCATATTTACTTGTTTTGGATCCTCTAGTCTCAGACTTTTGGATCAACTCGTCTTAGATCTTACGATTAACTCGTCTCGGATCAACTTGTCTCGATCTTATGATCAACTCGTCTTGGACTCTCCGCATCTACTCGTCTTGTACTCTCGATAATTTCGTATTTAGTTTCAAGTTGGACGCTTGAATTAAAATCTCCATGTACCAACTTCCCCCCGCGCACGCGCGCGCGCTCGCGGTGGGGTGGTGTGTTGAGAGAATTGTGATACCCTCGGATTTCCGAATGCGGGTTGGCCAGGCCCACGCCCGAATACCCGAGGATATCAAAACAAATTGATGATAAACGAACACAGAGTATAAAAAGAATAAAGAAGAATAAATAAAATGCTGACAAGAAACTAAAATGATAATCTAATAATAAATCTCAGAATATATTTCCATTAGTTAATAAACTCTTCTGATACAACTGATCCTCCAAAATACAACTCGGGAATCCATACTGTGTGGACCCCTAGAAAATCCAAACTAAACAAATGACAGCAATAACTGTCTAAATCAGGAAACTGAATCATAAAGGAACTCCTATGTAGCATCGGAAGAATGAAGTAGATTGATCCTCGCTCAGCACGAATAACCTCTACTCCTGACGAACACCTGAAAAATAATGGTGGGTGAGGCCCATAAACAAGTTCTACTCTACTACAGTCCAAGCAGAGATCCGATACACGTATACATCCTAGTCAATCCAACAGTAACTAGTAGTCCGTATATATATACACACTAAAGGAACCTCACTAGACTATAGGGTTGTCTCAACCTGAATAGTAGGTAACACGCAAAACGCACATATAGTGGGCATGAGTACCTAGACCTACCAGGGTACACAACTACACTATATCTAGCTACACATCCCTAGCGATATACGCACCCTAACCACTGATCCTGAGACTCAAGCTCATATCATGGCACCATACTTATATAAATATAATCTAGTAACCATCCTATCTAGTATAAATTAATCCTCCATAAGTCATTCAACTTGTTCAGCTGACCTGACTTGAATATAAGTAGGACTTAACATTTTAGTTAATCCATTCCCTTATATAATAAATTAATCCTTCCTAAGTCATTCAACTTGTTCAGCTGACCTGACTTGAATATAAGTAGGACTTAACATTTTAGTTAATCCATTCCCTTATATAAAATAGGTAGGACTTAACTGATAAGTTAATCCGTCCCTAAAATGCCACCGTCCCATACCGGTGCATTAAATCACAAAATCTAACAATTGATGTAACGATTAAGGAAATACATCAAACAATCCAGAAATAATTATGATAATATGATATCAAGTTATCACAAAATAGGAATGACTTATTATTTATTTAAGCTTCCTATATCATATGTCCTACACAAACTGAATCTTATACATGATGATATTTTATTATACCGTCAAATAAGCATTCTCCGTATCTAATTCATCCTACACATTTAATCTCAATTGCTTAAACATATTAAAAGATTCAATTCATTCGTTTGTTTAAAACATTCAAATAGCAAGCATCATTATGATTGAGTCTATTTAAATTTATTTAAACCCAAACCTAGTTCCTATTTAATGTTCAGGAATCCTAGGCATGTTTCTACTTTCCATCATTCCACAAATATGAAAAAATACATAATGTAAACATATAAAAATTCACACCGGAAATCAAATCAAAATCATGCATTTATCAATTCATAACACAAGAGCAGATATGAACCAATTTCATAAAACCTATGTTCTAATCAAATTAAACATGCATAATTATTTAATTTTATGTGTTTAATAAATCCTGGAATTTCCTAGGCATGCATAGAAACACGAATCAAAGGGAAAGAGATAGAAGAAGAACTTGCCTTAAACTTTCGGATCGAAAGTTAAACTTCTTCTTCCTTGATCTTCTCTCTACAGAGTTTTTCTCCTCCTTCCTTCCTTCTCTAACTCTCTCTCTCTAGAATATATCACGTGAATATTTCTAACCCCCTTTTACAACCTGTAGCTATATATTTATAGGCTAAATAAAATAACCCTAACCCTTTTCTCAATCCAAGTCAACTTAAAAAAAAATAAAAAAAAATAAAATATTAAAAAGGTAAGTAAAATATGTTACGTATATAATTTATGTATATCTTTATTAAATAAATAAATTATACACATCCCATTATTTATTAATGGATTATCCAATAATACTTAAGTTACCATAATATTATAAAGTAACTTAAAATATAACACGTATCAAATCTATGTATATTTTTATTATTTAAATATAAAACATATACATCAGATTAAATATTACTACCCAAGTTACCATAAAAGTAATTAATAAATTACTTTCCCTTTTATATATATTAAAAAGGTAAGTAAAATATGTTACGTATATAATTTATGTATATGTTTATTAAATAAATAAATTATAAACATTCCATTATTTATTAATAGATTATCCAATAATACTTAAGTTACCATAATATTATAAAGTAACTTGAAACATAACACGTATCAAATCTATGTATATTTTTATTATTTAAATATAAAACATATACATCAGATTAAATATTACTACCCAAGTTACCATAAAAGTAATTAATAAATTACTTTCCTTTTTATATATGTATATAATATATAACTATATATATACATACACAACTATTCACGGGTAATAATCCATACACATCCAACCTGCTATCCAAGTAGTCCATGGGACCCAATTGGTTGGCCAATTACCACTAACCATAACCATAAAAGAAAAATAAAATAAAATAATAAAAGAAACGAAAACATTTAATTTACAATTAATCAAAATACCATTTAAGTACGTAATCTAATTAAACAATTAACACATAGACAAATACAAATAATACATAGACAAATAATCAAATAATCAAGTAATACCTAGTTCAATTAAACACATAAACAATTAGTCAAATAATCAATTAAATAATTAAAAATATAATTAAAACAAATAAATAAATACCGAGACTATCCTTTTAAAATTAGGGGTATTACAAGAATAGATTGATAGGAGTGATTTAAACCTTGATACAATATTGATAGAGTGATTTATGGGATTGATTTTAGGAATCCTCCATCAATCTATTTTCCATATTTTTCAATTGTATTCTTTCACCTACAAATAGAGGTCGTCATTGTAAACAAAAAACTAAGAGAGAATATAATAATAGTGATGTAGCCTTTTGGGCTTTGTGTGTCATGGATGTAGGCCTTAGAGGCCAAACCACATATATTCTTGTATTGTTTCATTCTTAATTTCGTTCCTCAATCTTTTATTTTCTTTCAACAATTTCAAGCCACAGAATAAAATTTTGATTATTCCAATAGCAAGTTAAGTTCAGTTGTCACCTGGTCCAAACTTTAGTGTGTTTATTTATTTTTAAAATTTTCTGGGATTTGGGATGGACTTGCTATAGGTCTTGTTTGCTAGTTAGTTGATTATCTCAGCCTTGTGCTTTCTAGAATGTTTTGCTGGTGAGTTGAGAATCAATCCTTTTATAAGTTAACAACAAAAAAGTTTTGAAGCATGAAATTATTAGATTGAGCCTCCAGGGATTGAGTAAGATTGATTTTACTCTTTCTGAATATTCAGTTTGTGCAATTAGTATAAAATATTTGGTCAGTGTTCAGTCATTTTTTAATGCACCACTGCTATCACCATTGCTATTCCATTTTTTCTCCTTGCAGTCGAGTTGTAGAAGCTGCTCCATATAAAGCTATTGTGATCTCTGGAACTGGAAAGGATGTAGACATTCAATTAAGAAAACAGGATTTATCATGGAAAGATTTTCTTTCAAGTGTCAATCACCTTCCTAGGTAAACGACTTTGGTGTCAGGTTGACCCACTGAAATTATTACTTGTGCAATTCAAGAGTCTAATAAAACAATCAGTTTGTTTCTTATATATATATATATTTTCATGCTTACTAGTGAAAACTTCAACGGACATTTTCTTTTCTAGCAGACCAATACATTACTCTCCAGTTTATCAACCTATAGGCTCTGTGACTAATATACTCTTCTCGTCTGGAACCACAGGTAAGAGAAATTGTTTGATCTGGTCACTTTTTTCTCAGTACTTTGTTGTGACATTTTCCTTTATCCCATGATTTTTTGTTTGATCTTTTTGCCTTCATAGGAGATCCAAAAGCTATTCCATGGACGCAACTTTCTCCTATTCGAGCTGCTGCTGAAGCATGGGCACATAATGATGTCCAAGCTGGTGATATTTTCTGCTGGCCCACAAATTTAGGGTGGGTGGTGGGACCAATTTTACTCTACGCATGCTTTCTAAATGGTGCAACTCTAGCTCTTTATCATGGATCTCCTCTTGGACGAGGTTTTGGAAAATTTGTTCAGGTGGGTTGTCCAATAACCAATTAACCTCTATATTCTCAACCGTAAGAACACTGTTTCATTAAATTGATTCCACCAAGGATTTTTTTGATTCACATGAGAAATTGTTTCTTTGAGTCATGATCATTGGAAAAATCGAGTTCTAGATTGCTAATTGCTTAAGCTAAATTTATAATTTTCTATTTTTTTCTAAAGAAAACAAATTATTCTCCATTTTGCATTTAATGACACATCATGCCTGTTAGAGTAGGATTTATTTTATTATTAAGGGTCAATCTTTACAATCCCAAAGAGTACCTTATTTATTCTTCATTTATTTTTCTAATTACATGTGTTCAGGATGCAGGAGTAACTAATTTGGGTACAGTTCCAAGCTTAGTAAAGGCTTGGAAGAGTACGCAGTGTATGGAAGGCCTAGATTGGACAAAGATAAAGTAATTCTGTTTGAGCTCTGAGTATTCATGGTTGCATTTCTTAACAAGGAAAACGAAAATACTCACATTCAAATATCTGCAGGGTATTTGGTTCCACTGGTGAAGCCTCCAATGTTGATGATGATCTTTGGCTTTCTTCAAGGGCTTATTACAAACCTATTATTGAATGTTGTGGAGGCACAGAGCTTGCATCATCATACATTCAAGGAAACCTTCTGCAGCCACAAGCTTTTGGAGCATTTAGCTCTGCATCAATGTCAACGGGGTTTGTCATCCTTGACGAGCATGGGGTTCCTTTTGTAAGAATTAGCACATTTTCTGGCAGGTTTTTGATTGTGTTGGGCTTCTTGATAGTTGTTGTAGTCACCAACATTTAACCAAATCACTTGGTACGTATGGGTGCTGCTGCCATTTCACCTTAAAGCAAGGAGCATAATAATAATTCACTTGCTTAGTTGCTTAGCCTTTTCAAGTGAAATTGCAGCAGTATGCCTGACCTGTGATGGCTGTGTGGGATCAATAGGCAATGCAATGATTGTTGTAAAAAATTAACTGTTTTTGAAGAAGCCAAACCTAATGGATTGTTATGCTAGGATATCTTTCTTATGCAGATGCATGATCTTTGTGACTTGTTTGACAGCCGGATAATAAAGCTTGTGTTGGTGAAGTGGGATTATTTCCTCTATACATGGGAGCGACGGATAGATTGCTTAATGCTGATCATGAGGAAGTGTATTTCAAGGGAATGCCAATATATAAAGGAATGGTATGCAGTCTTTAGAGACACTTTTTCCATGTTCTTAATTGTAGTTTTTATGTAACTGATTTAATTTAAATTTAGACATAGCAATAATAAAGCTCCAACTAAAATTTCCATTCTAGAAGAATTGGATCAATTATAGAGCAACTTATTGTGTTAAATGCAATTCTGTTGGTGACTAGTCACCTGAACCATACTGTGCACATCCTTTTCTTATGGGTATCGCATAGAATTGGTCTACAGCTTGGGTTGCAGAGTCTGTCTTTCAGCTTCCAGAAGCCAGGACTGATAGGGTGTTGAGTTTGAATCTTTTGGGGCAAGATAGGTGTTCTATGTACTGGGTAATCATGATCTTTCTCCCGCTCTGGTGGGTATTACCATTCGAAAAATCTGGTTATAGACCACAAGTGTCATTTCTGTCTTAAATGGGCAGAAAGTGAGATTTCCAAATCAGAATCATTAGTATCACAAAATTTGGAGATGTTTCTTTGTCAATTTTGAGGGACTTTTTCTTTTTTAGGGAATTGAAGGAATGATAATATCTCAAAAAAAAAAAAAAAAAAAAAAAATTAAAGCTGTTTTTGAATTTTTTTTCCCAGAAAATGGCTGCTTTCAGGCAATTTTTCACGTTTTAAGAAAATGTCCCTAAACTAAAAATGCCTGAAATTGACCGTGTTATCAACACTTGTATCAATTCTAGTTTGTGAATTTGCAGAAACAAAAATAAAAATAAAAATTGAGTTTTCAGAAACAAAAACAGGCGAGCAGTGCTGTCATCTAATTAGCTGGCTTAGGAAATTGCTAAATCACTGAATCTTGTCTTCTTCTTTGTTTCTTCTTTTTGCTTTGTTGTGTTGTTTCTATATTAGGGATATTAAAATTTTCGCAACGGTAAGGTTGCTCCATTGTGACCTAGAGGTTACGGGTCCGAAATAAGGAAATAGCCTCTCTGCATGCGGAGGTAAGGCTGCGTACATCTGACCCTCCCCAGACCCCGTAATGGCGGGAGCCTCGTGCACTAGCACAGCCCTTTATAATCTTTTTGCAAATCACAATTCCACTTAGAAACAACTATGGATAAAAATTGTAAAATGTGTATTGTTATGCGGAATTTCCCTCTACCTTTTGTCCATAAATAAGTGCAGTTGGATAATTATCATGCACATCCTGTAGTATACACACTATGATCCAGTGATTTTAGAAGTGCATTGAAATTATTTTATCACAACTTGATTGTTACTCACAGCAACTTAGGAGACATGGAGACATCATTAAGAGAACTACTGGAGGCTATATTGTTGTACTAGGCAGGGCTGATGACACCATGAATCTTGGTGGCATAAAGGTATCACATTCTTCTTCTTGTCCCTTTTTTCCACATTGCCTGCTAAATTATTTTTAGATGAGCTTAAATACGTTTAATCAGTAAATTTCTTTAGTTTTGTTTAGCTTGGACTAATTTTTTTTTGAAACCAAAATGATATCTTAGGATTTTTTTATTTACTTTTATATGCAGACAAGTTCCGTTGAAATTGAGCGTGTGTGTGACTGGGCTGATGAGAGTGTGTTGGAAGCTGCTGCAGTCAGTGTATCCCCAGCAAATGGTGGACCGGAACAACTAGCTATATTTGTGGTATTAAAGAACGGATTTAATAGAGATCCAGAAAAGCTAAAAATGAAATTCTCGAGAGCCATCCAGACGAACCTTAACCCTTTATTCAAGGTTTGTATCTCCTCCCAAGTTCCTAAGGATATGCATCAAGATCTCCGTATTCTGTTGAATAAGCTTCGTAGAAAGATTGAGCTGATATATATGACAATTCAATCTTTGGAGTTTTGTGCAAATTCACCAATTCAGATGGTTTGAATTCGTTGCAAAACAATTTAAGTGTCCCCTGATAATCGTGCTCTTTTTGCTTCTCATTAACAGGTGAGCATTGTTAAGATTGTTCCAGAGTTTCCTCGAACAGCTTCAAACAAGTTACTACGGAGAGTTTTGAGGGATCAACTGAAACACGAGCTTTACATTCGGAGTAAAATTTAACGAGTGTCAATTTCCATTCATTTGAGATTGAACTTTCTGAAATGGATGAACCAACAGAGGCCATTTATTTTCATGGTAATAGGATGAAGAAATGTGCTATGCTTTTGACTTGGTCTTGAACCGTTGCCTTCTTGTGATGAATAATTGTATTATTGTTCAAAAACTGCAAAATAATTGTGATGTTACTGTTGGAATGGGGTGGAATATGATATGAAATTGATATGCTAGCTTCTCTTCTCATATACAACTTTAGGTAGCATAATATGAACAGCATGCTTGTTTTTTACCAAGGGGGTGAAAAATGTACGCTATTAAATTCTCATAACAGTTTGATGAAATGCAAGCTTGCTTGCACACTGCTGGGCCTATTGCCTTAATGGCAACGGTTTTTATTTTGTGTTTCAGGTAGTGTACTACGGTAGCGAAATAAAACTGAGATGTGTTTGGTAGCTTTTTTTACAATTTGAATAGTATCATGTTTGTTGCCACATGCTTTTAAATACCGTTGAACACACTTCACAACAAAAACGTTCTGCACACTATTAAAAGAAAATTCCAGGATTGCTCAAGTATTCATCGTTTCTGTTTTGAATGAAAACATAAATATAAAACGGAGACACTTGCCGAACAGGCCTTAGTGGAAAGACTCGGTTCAAATTATAGAGAGAGAGCAAAGGAACATATATACATATATGCACGTACAAAGTATGGGAATGTAAATCTTGAAGAAAGATGGAATCCTTCTACAAAATAAAAGGTTTTCAGGGGGGACTACATATAATATTGGGTAAATTTTATTATTCTCTCTTAAGATTATAAAAAGTCAATTATACCCTTATATGTAATATATTTTTATAATACAAAATATATTATAAAATTTTAAAAAATCAATTATTTGATCTCATCTATCTTATTACTCTCTCTCCTCCCCCACCACCGTTACCCTCTCCTAAAAAACATCTTGTAAATAAATCAAAAAATAAGTGTAAGGGCAACTTGGTCAATTTATGAATTTTTTTTCATAAGTTTTGATTGGGTGGGTGGGGGGGGGGGGTTGTTGAGCATACACCCAAACCTCAAGGGAGGTCAAAAC